CTTTCTCTCTCTTTCTCTCTCTCTCTCTGTCCCCCTCTCTCTCTTTCTCTCTCTCTTTCTCTCTCTCACTTTCTCTCTCTCCGTCTCTTTGTCTGTTTTACACAAACAAACAAACACACACACACACACACACACACACACACACACACACACACACACGCACACTCACATATACACACAGCGCGCGTGCGCACGCCCAACAAGTAAAAAGAAAAGAAAAGAAAAAAAAATAATAAACGAAACAAACCCAAAACAAAACAACCAAACAAAACAAAAATGTTACTGAGGTGCGCGTATGTCCCCATCACAAACAACTCACCACAGCACTCAATGCCCGTTTCGCATTTTTCAGTGTCGAACCGCGACCCCTCGCACTTCCGACCGCAGTAATTCGGCCTTGGCCTATTGCACGTCCTTGACCTCTCTCGGACGCCACGCCCACATTCCACAAGACAGGATGTCCAGGAACTCCAACCCGACCATCCTCCGTCCACTGAGAACATCCACAACAGTTTCAGAACAGCTGCCAACTTTCTCACGTTTTTTGAAATGATAAAACTCTACAGGAATTCTTCTGTCTTCTTTATAGTCTTCGAAGGCTGGAATCATTTGCTTTAATTAACAGTTTTCTTTTGTTTCGTTCCTCTTGTTTTACTTTTGTTGCTGGTGGAATGTGGCCGTAACTAAAAAAATAACGTCATTTACAATTGATTGCTCTAATAACCCAAACAAAACAAAAATATGGTAATAGGAATATTATGTAAATGAACATTCTCAAATAATAGAATCTGTTACGTCAGCACAATTTTGTTTCCAACACAGTGTACTTTTATCATAATTTGAAAAAAATCTTCTAAATCATACCAATGTAGTCGCCAAAGTTAGAGTTAATTAATTTACTGCTTCGTACATTTAAGGATTACCGATTATGATATTAGGTAGAGAAAAAAAGCTACATTATACTAGCAACTTAAAACATTTTGTCACCTCAGAATTGCAAAGTTCTATTTGACATTTTAGCCCGTTTTGAGTCACTAAGACCATGAGGTCAGAAACAAAATGTTCTATCTGCTCCTTCAAAACTTAAAATTATTCGGAGTCGTCGTGAAGATATTTAAACAATTGCATTCGAAAAAACATGTGAAACTCGATTTTAAAAAAATCAAATTTCTCAAAACTAAGCAGATAGAAGTTTGTAATTCTAGGGTGGCAATTTATCAAATACTCCTATATTACAATTTACTCTAAATACTACACAATACTGTAAGACCATACTTATACACGTTATGTATAATATATTATTAGAATCTCTTCCAGATATGTTTCCGCCACATCTAACTGTGTTATGTTTTTCAGGACAAGTAGCCAAGCGAAAGATGTAGGACGTTAGCAAAATTAGTGCAAAATAATAATATTATGGAACTAAAGCCTGTAAGCTGAATATACACTCGATGCAAGATCATTTGTATTATGTATATCATGAAAAAGATATATATTGTGTACAAATAACCAACCAATGAATCAGTCGAGCATCCAATTCAATCCAACAAACAATCGATCAATCTATGTGCGCGCACAAAGCCATAAAAAGGTGAAATATATAAAGTAACCATGTCTTCAAAGTACTGGTTAAGGTGATAATATAGATTGTGAAAAAGAAAACTCACTCAGAAGTTAAAAGCACACGAGGAGGTCAAGTGTGTAGTGTGTTGTGACCATCACCATAGTCAGGAGATGGGTCAGAGGTCAAAAACCCAGAATTTGATAAACAGACTTAAAATTGGAAAATGGATTCAAGAAGCGCTAGAATCTAGTTTAAAAGTAGAAAAGTTATATTTGAATTGGAAACAGGGTATGAAGGTTATGGTGAAATGTGTAACAAATAAGGGTTTGGGTTTCTTTTTGTTGTTATAATTTTTGTTGTTGTTGCTATTGTTGTTGTTGTTGTTGATGTTACTTCAGCGGTTTTTTAATGTTATGCGTGGTTTATGCATTGTCTACAAAGTAGAATTGTGTGTTTGTGTGTGTGTGTGTGTGT